GATTGTTGTCATTGATGGGAAAATGAATTCCAGAGTTTATCAAGATATTTTGCAGGAAAACGTACAACCATCTGTCCACCAACTGAAGCTCCGCAGAGGATGGGTGATGCAACAGGACAATGACCCAAAGCATACAAGTAATTCAACAAAACAATGGCTTCAACAGCACAGAATACGCCTTCTGGAGTGGCCCAGTCAAAGTCCTGACCTCAACCCGATTGAAATGTTGTGGCATGACCTTAAGAGAGTGATACACACCAGACATCCCAAGAATATTGCTACACTGAAACAGTTTTGTGAAGAGGAGTGGTCCAAAATTACTCCAGATCGTTGTGCAGGTCTGATCTGCAACTACAGGAAACGTTTGGTTGAGGTTATTGCTGCCAAAGGAGGATCAACCAGTTATTAAGTCCTACGGTTCACATACTTTTTCCTCCCTGCACTGTGAATGTTTACATGTTATGTTCAATTAAACCATGGCAACATGTAATGTTTGTGTATTATTATTTTCAGCAGACTGTGTTTTTCTATTGTTGTGAGTTAGATGACGTTCAGAGCACATTTTATGACCAATTCATGCAAAACTCCGCGTTATCCCAAGGGGTTCACATACTTTTTCTTGCAACTGTAGGTCTTAAGTAGGCCTCACCTCTAAAACGTCTAGCCCAGATAATGTTGGCCAGGGACTGCACCTTTTGAAATGTCAGTTAGTTATAACAGAATTGCAAAACGCTAACTATAATCTGAATTGTTATATTTCAAGTATTTATGCGATGCCAGTTGAACCGACTGCAGAAAGGACAAGCAACAGATGAATGGTTTCAGCTCAGTTCACATGTACCCCTGAAAGGTATTGAACCAGGCTCTTTGCGTGTCCGAGCACGATATTCTATGGAGAAAATAATGCCTGAAGAAGAATACAGTGAATTTAAAGAGGTATTGAAATAATGCGATTTCAGTGGCATTTTGAAAAACATTTTAAAAGTTTGTCAATATAAGAAAACTAAAGTTTTTTGGTCTTTCGAGGTATTTATATTTTTGTGTAGCTCTCAATTTGAACAGAAGATGCTTAGATTTGCTTAAGCCATACACTGAAATACTTCAGAAAACAATGACAATTTTACAAGACTTAAAAGATAGAGTAATATTGCTCTTCCAAACTTCAAACTATATTATAGAGCTAACAGAATACATAAAATCTAGAACTTTATTATTTGCATAGCTCATGAACTGCCTAAATATATATGAAGAAGGGACATGAAAAAGAACAAAAATTGGAAAGGACTTATAGTCCCAAAGATGCTTTTTCAAAGGCAACTGGACTTTGTCTTTTCTTGAAAACATTTCACTTCTCATCCAATACACTTCTTTAGTCCTGGGAATGGAAGGATTTATATTCTTTGCAATCATCTGGTCCTTTGCACTCTGAAGGTCTCTGAGAGTCATTGAGTTCATTTGGGGGTTTATCTGTATCCTCAAGGTCACTTAAATCAGTATGCAAATGGGTATGGAACCTTCTTGGAACTGCTAAAAGGACAACAGATAGGTGGTGTCCTTTCACATGAAACATTTTCAAGGGAAAAAAAAAGTCCAGTTGCCTTTGAAAAAGCACTTTTGGGACAATCCTGATCTGGATGATTGAGAATCTCCATAAATGAAAAGATTTACTATAAGACAAAGTTTGGAACTTCACGAGAAACACAGTAAGTCCAACCATTTCACTACTAGCCTTTTGTTTAAATGCCTTTCACTCTGGAGATTACTAAAGTAAGAATTATATATGCAGATATAGTCTAGTGGTTAGAATGCAGTATTGCAGGCTAATTGAGCCAATTGCCAGCAATTCAATCCTGACTGGCTCAAGGTTGACTCAGCCTTCCATCCTTCTGAGGTCGGGTAAAATGAGGATCCAGATTGTTAGGGGCAATATGCTGATTCTGTAAACTGCTTAGAGAGGGCTGTAAACCACTGTAAAGTAGTATATAGGTCTAAGTGCTATTGCTATAATAGATTAAACAAGGATTACAACACAAATTACTTGGTGAAGGCTTAAAGATTATCATAGTCTATGTACTATAAATTGTCGGAATAATAAAAACTGGTCTCAAAAATTAGGGAAGACTTCTAAGAAAAATGACAATATTTGAAGTGCTTGTACAGAATCAAGCCCACCTATTAGGGTACATGTATAAAGTGTCAAATTACATTTGATACAGAAACAGAACAAATTAAAATTGTATGATAAACTGGATGCAAAACTTTTTTTAAAAAGTCCCCAGACAACAATGGGAAAAACTATGGAACATGTCTATAAAATTTACTCCAGCTATAACTTAAGAGAAAACTGATAATAAAATGTTTTATAGATGGTATACAGCTCCATCAATAAGCATACTGTAATAAATGCTGGAAATGCCATGAGACAAAAGGAATATATTACCTTATGTGGGAGACATGTAAAGAAAACTTCAAAAGTAGTGTAAAGAAACATGCAGCACTATTCAAATCTAAAAAAAAACAACAGCTTTTTTTAAGTAGGCATAATTCCAAGATATTTAAATAAAAAATACCACAATTTAAAAAGATACATGTTCACAACCTCAGGGATAAACCTAACACTATACTATGAGACATTTTATCAATGATATTAGATTGGTAATTTTAACTTGGAGAATATGTAATAATAGCAGAATTAACAGCATATATTTGTAACAGAAATTTGACCAAATTTTAAAAAATGACTTTCATATATATTGCGTATTACATAGCAGTGGAAATTAAAGTATTTAGAGTACGGCTTGTAAGGGGGAAAAGAACTGAAATCAGAAATACATGAAAATTGTAAAATGTTTAGAAACAATGTATATCAGTTGGAGTACAACAAGTGTATCAGAGACTCAAAAACATTTAAAATAGTTTTTTATTGTAAAAATACAATAGATTCTGCAGCTACTTTACATTCTATTCTATTTTTGCATTAACTAGTTTTTGATATGCTTGTTTTCTTCTTTTAAGAAAAAGAAAGCAATGATATTTCAGTTTTACATTCAATAATTAACCTTTATTTTTCAGTTGGTACTGCAAAAAGAGTTGCATGTGGTCTATGCCTTATCTCATGTGTGTGGACAAGATCGAACATTGCTGGCTAGTATTTTACTTAAAATTTTTCTCCATGAAAAACTGGAAGCATTATTACTGCGAACACTAAATGACAGAGAAATATGCGTGGAAGGTACATTGTAAATATTTAATACTGATTTGTGAAATTAATTTTCTATGACATTTATTTTCTCTTTTCCCAAGATTCCTAATCCTCTCCTTTAGAATGTCTTTTGCACCATAAACATCTCTGTTTTTTTTAAAAAAATGCCATATATAATATTTGAACCCAATATATAAACATATTTCTATTCAGATGAAGCCACTACCTTATTCCGCGCCACCACACTGGCAAGTACACTTATGGAGCAGTATATGAAAGCTACAGCTACACGGTTTGTGCATCATGCTCTGAAGGACTCTATTTTAAAGATAATGGAGAGTAAACAATCTTGTGAGGTAAGAAACTTCAGTTAATATTACTATTTAATGAATACGCACATTTTTGGGGGGAAATACTTCTTTTTTAATGTACAATTGATTTGTTTATAGCAATTTGAGGAGATTTTAAACCAAGATATATCCTTATAAAATTAATTCTCTTTATATTATATTATTTAGGTTTTAAATTGATTTATCAATATCATTGTCAATTTTTTAAGTACATTAATCTTAGAAATACTATACTAGAAGTATAAAAAAAATCATATAATGGTCTAATTAGTACTTGTCTTTAAAGCATTTGTTTCCAATATTATTCCGCTGTATTATTTTAGCTTAGAGCAGAGATTCTTAACCTGGGATACACAGATCCCTTAAAAATCCTTTCCAAGGGAGTCTTTGAACTTGGAAAAAAACATTACAGCTTTATTTTCACTGAATCTTTGCATTCAGTGATATACATAGGCTACGAAGTAAATATGGCCTCTAGACTCTAAAACTTGTTTTTTTTAAAAAAAAATAATTGTATTTATATACCAACCATCACATAAATATGACACTGAGCAGCTTACAGTAAAATAAACAAAAAAAAACATAGCAGCCAAGCCTCATAAAATAACCATCAACAAAGCCAAGAGGTGGGCTTTATCATACACCTGGGGCCCCAGGCCCATGTACAAAACCAAGTTTTAGGTATTGCAAAAGGCCAATAGGGTTGGGACTACCCTAATCTCAGATGGAATTAAAAGATTAAACATGTTTGCTAACTTCATAACCTCTGTCTAAAATTATTGTACCCAGAAAGTGCATCATCGTGTTATCGATTTAGTGGATTAATAATGAAGCACATATTAACTATTTGGTTTTTTAAAAAATATATATATAGTTGTATTTAACCTGTATATAATCTTTTTCCATTGTAATATAGACAGTGTCTTTCTATTTTATTTGATGAAGTTAAATATACTTTTCTGACAAAGATTTGTAGGTTTCTCGTAGGTCAAAATGGAACCAAAAAAAGCCAAGAATGCTTGGTTTTATGGCATTATAACCCATATGCTTATTATTGAATTTAAAATTTTGGTGTACCTCAATAGTCTTAATCTTCTAATCTTAAACTACTGTGTATTGTAAACATATTTCATCTATTTCATTCAAAATAAAAATATTCAATTTCTGGTTTTGTATTTCAGTTGAATCCTTCAAAATTAGAAAAAAATGAAGATGTAAATACTAACTTAGCACATCTATTAAGTATCCTTTCAGAGCTAGTGGAAAAAATATTCATGGCTGCAGAAATACTACCTCCGTAAGTTCATCTGTATTTTCTAGAAAATCTGTTGAAATTTGGTTGTTTTAATTTCACATGTATTAGAACACATTCTGTCTATTGTTCTGATATAGTTCTTTCTATAAAGTTATTCCTGGGCCAAGTTCCTAGATTTTGTTCATTTTGTTTGTGAGTAAGAATATGTGTGTATAGTAGAACCTCTGTAACTTTAGAAAAATACATTTCCTTGGTTTTTACCTGAATCTCGATTATGATGTATTGAACTGGAAGTGCTATTACAGTCTGAAGTCACTTTATTTCTACTATAAACTTGAATCATTCACTTTTTACGACCCTGTAATCCCTTAATTCGGGGTAAAATCGGGACCACTGGATGGAGCTGAGCGTTTACTGGCTGGATGCCCTTCCTGAGATCATGTGGAATTCGTAGCGGATATTTTTTTCTTTGTGTCCTGGGAGAGAAACATCTGCGCTACCAAGGTTGAGCTCTCAACGTCCTGAGTAGGAGGCGAGCGTCTTCACTACTAGGCCACCATGCTGCCACCACTACTATAAACTGAATAAACTCTTAGAAAGTTCTTATATTTGTTTTGAAATTACGTATCTTTCAGTTATTCAGCTGATACCTAAAAGTAAAATTTATGAAGAGTTCGATACTTTGCTAAAGCTTTTGTGTAATATATTTATTGAGTCACACAACATTTTTTTAAATGAAGTATCAGGAATATACGTTAGCTATCATTTTGAAATATTTGACTATAGTAAAACTTGATTTTTTTATTATTCCACTTGTATTATTTGAATAGGACACTGAGGTATATTTATGGTTGCTTACAAAAATCTGTTCAGAGCAAGTGGCCAGCCAACACAACCATGAGGACAAGAGTAGTTAGGTAAAATATTTTTATTTTTATTTTTGCTTTGTTGCCTGTTGTATGCTATAATTGAGAAAATTACCTTCATGTTTTATTTTTCAGCCATCTTTGAAAAGATACATTGTTTTAAAACTTTGAAAATTCATGATATTCAGCTTTCATAGTTATAAAAATCACTTTTCATATATTACACAACAGTATAACATATTTAGATAAAAGATTGCATGTGCAGAAAAAATACTGTTAAAACTTGAGAGAAAATATTAGTTCGGAAACAAAGAGAGAGTCGAATTTTACATTGGTAGGGTGATATAGCTTGAAAAATTTAGAACCTTTGAAAATCTTTTCTATCATTCTGTCAATCAGTAAGGAATATTTTACAAGGTATGAGATATATGTGTTGAAAGGATAATTTCTCTGCTTTAGAATAATGGCTGAAAAATTATAAACTATTGCTAGTTTATATACAAGAATAATGAGATAAATGAATTAATTTTATCATGTGTACCTTAATAATAATTTCACACTCTTTTGTTCATTTATTTCAAACACCAACATATTCTTGTATCTATAATTTTAGTGGCTTTGTTTTCCTTCGGCTGATCTGCCCTGCTATTCTAAATCCAAGGATGTTTAATATCATCTCAGGTGAGTACATTAGATAATAATTAACTCATATTTAGCATTAGGACAATAATGCCTATTTAGTTTCAAATGCAGTCATGGAAAAATAAATTCTGTTGCTTGGTTAAATAGGTTTAAGTGCTTTTTTAAATGTATAATTCTTATTAGAAATGTCAATAATAGAATGAGAATGAGAGTGAGAAAGAGAGTATATGGATCTGGTGCACTTGTGTGGATTCAACATGTATCTAATACTGCTAAACTTCCCTAAAAGTTTTCCTTTCAACATTTTTTGTAAAATAAGTTAATACTGCTACTCAACAATTCACTTTGAATTGTTTTGAGAAGGTTAGATACTAGGAAGAAAATGAAAAATATGCTGTTGTATAATTATTTTGATATATTTCCTAAACAACTAGCTGGCCAATTTTTTTTCTTTAAAGAAATTTTAGGAAAGGAGAAGCTGCCAGAATTTGCTACCTTAAGATTTCTATTGTTATATTATCAGTGCCTTAGGAAAGGAAGTAATATGATTTGTGGATTTCCCCTTCAAAGAGCTATCAGTTAACCACTTAAATCAGGAGCAACTTAGCTGGTTTAATGTGGCTTAGAAGGAAGAACTTGGCTTAGGTTGGCTTGCTATAAATTATTGTAATATTGGTTGTAATTTTCAAACTGTTTGTTACAGATTCTCCTTCTCCGACTGCAGCAAGAACACTGACGCTGGTCGCTAAGTCTGTGCAGAATTTGGCAAATCTTGTTGAGTTTGGAGCTAAGGTAAACATAATTGGTTCATTATACTCTCATCAAGAAAGAACAAGCAAACTGTCTGTCCTAATTGCTGTATACTTTGCAGGCAGATAGTCCCATAATTAGTCATCAGGGGAAAGGATTTCCTTACATCCTATGTCCACATATTGGATTAAATTATGAGTTGTTGGACATTCCCAAAACAGACCAGAGTCATATTACAAATGAATAAAGAAATCATAACTTGTTTTTTGCATTCCTGTTCATGTTTGTTCCTTTTAAAGGTGATTGTGTCTCTCTAGATTGGGCAGGAGACAGTAAGAAAACTGTTTTGTAGGTTGGAAATTTCAAACAAAGGTTTTGCTATGGTTTGCAGATCATACAGGTAGGCCTTCACCTATGACTACAGTTGGGATTAGAATTTTCATTGTTAAGTCAGTTGTTAAGTGAGTCACACCCAATTTTGTGACCTTTTTGCTATAGTTGTTAAATGAGTCACTGCAGTTGTTAAGTGAATCATTTACTCATTAAGTGAATCCAGCTTCCCCCTTTGCTTGTTGGAGGCCAGCTGAGAAGGTCACAAATGGTGATCGCGTGATCCTGGGTTGCTGCAACTATCATAAATACATGACATTTGCTAAGTGCCTGAATGTTATCATGTGATGCTGGGGATGCTGCAATGGTCGTAAGTGCAAGGATCAGTTGTGAGTCACTTTTTTCAGTGTGTTGTAACTTTTAACAGTCACTAAATGAATGGTTGTAAGTTGAAGTTACTAGTTGCAGAACCTAGCCTTGGCCAGTTGTCTGACTAAATGATATGGTCGTGCACATTGGCTTCTTTTTTTTAGTGTATTCTGGCTATTCCAGAGAATGGCCACTGGAAATGGTTTTGGGCCCATAACTTACCTCATTCCTAGCAATGAGATTAAAAGATACTGAAACAATTAGAATAAGTTCTGGATCATGTTTTCTTTTTCTTGATTAGGAATTCTCAGTAATTAAAAACCATTAATACGATAAAAATCGCATCATTAATCATACTTTTAAATTCTAAGAATCTGAATTGTGATTGAATATGTGAATTTTGAAAGCGTTTTTTTGTATTATATCAAATCTTACCAAGTATAAAAACAAAATCCAAAGAAACAGAACTCTAACAAAACTCTTTATTTTCAGTTTTGATTTTGCTGTATGATCCACGTGGGGTTTTTCTTGAAAACAACTTAGTAATTTGAACTGATCCAGAATGCCAATATATATGTATTGGCCTGTACTGGTTAGATAGGTTATCACTTTTCTTCTCAGGTCATTTTGAAGGACTGTAAATCTTTTCGCAATTTAAAAACTGCTTCCTTTTAAAGACCAATTATGAATTTCCCTTGTGAGTCCTGGTCAGTAGCTTTGCTAACTGTTTCTCCTATATAATAAATAGGATGAAATTTAGTAAGTCTCATAAAGGAACCTCATTACCATTGTTACCATTTTACAAAGTATATTAAACATTTGTGACTTAGCCTTTTCTCATGTGAATCTTTTGATGTGATTTTCATTAAATATAGAAAAGGGATATTAAAATATTTTAACTACTTAAGCTGCTCTGGGAGTTCATCTAGAAATCAAAATTTAAAACTATTTCATATATTACAATATATGTAGAATAAAGATAGCAACTTATTTACTTTTAGGAGCCTTATATGGAAGGTGTAAATCCATTTATCAAGAGTAACAAACACAGGATGATCATGTTTTTGGATGAACTTGGGGTAAGAACACTTATCTATACCACAACTATTAGTTTTGAAAAGATTTGTGTTATTATCTCCTCATTGAGAACTGGGAAAAGACTTTTTATTTCCCTAGTTTCAGAAATGTACTTCAAAGTATTAATTGCTTATTCTCCAAGGCATCATCTGTGCTTTATAAAATGGCTTTTCTTTATGTGGCTTGTTTTTATGTGTGAAAGTAATTTCAATGGATTTTTTTAAATATTCAAGTGATATTGTCCCTCTATTTTATGTACTTTATCTCCCTGCTTATTCCTGTCTTGCTATTTTATATATTCCCATTACCATCTTTGTTCATGGGGTATATTTTTCTTGCATAGAACAGCTTCTTTCAGAGCACATTAATTCAGTGTAGCTGTTTGCCATGCTTATTCACTAGCATTGGATAAAATTGTAATTCACCCTATTGGTATTAAAAATGAAAGGTTAAATTTCACAGGTAAGGCCTAATATTTCTAAAATGCAGCATTGCATATCAGTTCTTACTTGAGCTTCCTGCATCATTCAGCAATTGTGTTAGTTACACAATTTTAGCTCCTGTGATGCTTACACAACTTTTTAAAAGCACTCATTATGTCATTTAAGCCTTAAGTGGCCTGTAGTTAAAGAATGACAGTGACTGTAATCATTCTCTATATGGACAAACATTGTCAAATAATGGTAAAAAGAAAAGCATGACTTTTGTATTATTTTATGAAATATAATCTTTGTCATATTTTGTTCAAGAACATACCTGAGCTTCCAGACACTACAGAGCCCTCTAGAACTGACTTATCTCGTGATCTAGCAGCCCTTCATGAGATTTGTGTGGCACATTCAGATGAACTTCGAACACTCAGTAATGAGCGAGGGGCAATGCAGGTAAGAGCTGATACTAAACATAGGCTAGTTCCAAAATATGTGGAGAATTGATTTGTCACCCCTTTAAGGTAGAGCAGACTAGGGGGCTCCTTCCCCCAAGATGGCTGCTGCCCAGTACAAATTTTTTCTCCCCTGCTGATGATCTGTTTTTGTTGCCAAAGCTGATTCTTTGGCAGTGTTGCTTCCTGGATTTGAATGGAGGCATTTAGGAATGACCCAAGACAATTTTTGGACAGCTGTGGACCTACCCAGGAGGGAGAATCTTGAAAATTTCAGCTCCCAGTGGGAGTAGCTGAAAAATCATTGGTCTTTTCTCCATCTCTTCCTATCAGCAGAAAGTTCTAATAAGCAAGCCTGGATTTTAACATCACTTTTTGAAGTTTTGCTTTGTTCTTTATTTTTAATTGGGTGCTTGAATGCTGATTTATTTCAATCTTCTGCTGGATTTTATCTGTTTTTTTTCCTGCTTTATTTCTTGGATCTATTTGGCTGTTACCATTAACTTCTGCTTTTCCCAGCAAAACTACTGCTTTTGAATCACATTCCTTTTATGGGTTTAATTTATCTAGTTATTTGCTTCTGAATACCACAGCCTTTATGAGTTTATCAAACTTTTTTTTAAAAAGCTTTCAGCTAAGAATTGCATGTTATCAAACAATATTTTTTCGAGAATCAGCCTGATTCCTTGTCTGTAATCCGATAAGTTGTTGCTCTATGTAGTAGATAAGAGAATTCTTCAAAGCAGAATAAGAAAACTGACAAAGGAGCAGGGAAGATATTTTCTGGATATTTCAATACAAAATTAAAATAAAGACTGATAAAAATAAACTCTACATTTTTTGCAAATTGAATGAAATTCAAAATCCCTGTAGTGAATGTCCAATAAAAATGTAAACCAAGTAAAAGTACTTTCACTATCCAGCAACATGACATGATTTTCCATTTGGAAAAACAGAAGTTAATAAAAACAGCCAAGTAAAGCAAAGGGAAAAAAAGCAAGAACAGATAAAAACCAGCCAATTAACTTTTAGAAATAAAAAACAAAGCAAAACAAAAACTTCAAAACGTGAAGTTAAAACCCAGGCTTGCTTACAAAAACGGTCTGCTGAAAAGAAAAAGTGGATGAAAGACCAATGACTTTCTGGCTGCTCCCACAGGGAATTGCAATTTTAATAATAACAATAACACAACAACAACAACAATAATAATAATAATAATTAATAATAGTTGGAATGGACCTTGGAGGTCTTCTAGTGCAACCCCCTGCTCAGGCAGGAAACCCTATACCATTTCAGTCTCTTCTTAAAAACTTCCAGTGTTGGAGCATTCACAACTTCTAGAGAGGCAGGTTGTTCCACTGGTTAATTTTTCTAACTGTCAGGAAGTTTTTCCTCAGCTCTAGGTTGCTTCTCTCTTTCATTAGTTTCCATCCATTGCTTCTTGTCCTGCTTTGGAGAATAGCTTGATTTCCCTCTTCTTTGTGGCAGTCCCTGAGATATTGGAACACTGGTATCATGTCCCCCCTTGTCTTCTCTTCATTAAACTAGACATACCCAATTCCAGCAACCATTCCTTATGTTTTAGCCTCCAATCCCCTAATCATCTTTGTTGCTCTTCTCTGTACTCTTTTTAGAGTCTCAAAATCTTTTTTACATCGTGGTGACCAAAACTGGATTCCAAGTGTGGCCTTACCAAGGCATTGTAAAGTGGTATTAACACTTCATGTGATCTTGTTTCTATCCCTGTTAATGCAACCTAGCACTGTGTTGGCTTTTTTGGCAGCTGCAGCACACTGCTGGCTCATATTTAAGTGATTGTCCACTAGGACTCCGAGATCCTTTTCACAGTTAATACTATTAAGCAAGGTACCCCCTATACTATACCTGTACATTTAGTTTTTCTTGCCTAAATGTAGAAACCTAACTTTCAAGTTTCCCTCTCCCGGGTGACTCCACAATCGTCCAGAAGTCATCTTGGCTAATTCCTAAGTGCCGCCATTCAAATCCAGGGAGCAACACTGCCTTAGAACCAGTTTTGGCAGCAAAAGCAGATCATTGGCAGGAAAAATCTTCCTACTGAGAAGCAGCCAGCTTAGGGAAGAATCTCAATCTCTATATTTTTTATAGCCTTCATTTAGAAAAAGATCTTAGTATATTAACTGTAAATATATCAAAATCTCAAATCATAAAAGTGAAACATAGAATAAATTCTACTTTTAGAATTTAGTACCTGAAGTGAGAATTTCTGGCTTCTGAGAAATCCTTACTTTCTTAGGAGAGTCTGTATTTAAAGCAGACATTTTTGAAATTTGGATTAAAACATTTGCTTTGGCTGGTCTTTTAAATATTATTGTGCTTGATTAAGTCTGAATCATAGAATCACATTGACCTTGTCTTTTGCTTTTCTATGTGCCAAATACCAAAGCAGTGTGATGCTCCGCAAACTTGGTGTTTTCCAAAGTAATTATATTGAAAGTGTTTTACAGACAAATTTAAGTGTGGTACAGTTTTCTTTTTTGGAGTCTTGGATTGGGAATGTTTAATATTCAGAGATAATTCAAGTAAACTGGGTATTTCTTCTAAAGTATTGAAGATTTTTTTCTGCAAGTTAAAGAATCATAGTTGAATGTATATGAAGTGAAATAAACTGAAGATGAAAACAGAAATACACACTTGTGAAAAGATCAGTAAAAGTTTACTGAAACCATGTTGTAGTCAATGGAATGAATTCCTATTCACTTAAAATGGAATTCATCATCTACAAACTTTTATGGGTAAAATTGGAAGGAAGCAAACTCACCAAAGTGTCTTTTCTCCTGACCTCTGAAAGTCTGCTCTGACTTTGGAGACTCTTGAGCAGCTTCAAAAGATGGCACTTATAGACTGCAGATGGTGGAATTAGCAAAGCAACATCACATACTGTGAAATGAGTGGATCTTTTAGCATGGCTGTCTTGATTTTATCTATGTTTCAAATACAGTGTGTATTTTGAGTGATATCCATGATTAGTACAAAGTGATGTTGCAAGACATTACATTTTTATATTCATTGCATATCATCACTTGCTTTATTTAAATGTTAAAGCTGCAGGCAAGTTACTTTGATGTACGTATTCAAGCTAGAAAACTTTTAGATTGTCTTTTCCTTGCTCAAAATCCAAAAGTATTCTAAAGATATTTAAATAAATAAACATCACTTCTTTCAGCCTTTAAAACTTCCAGAAAGACCATGGATAATTTAGTAAATTTACTTCTTCTTTTTTTAAACAGCATGTGCTAAAGAAGTTGCTGGCAATTACAGAACTGCTTCAACAAAAGCAGAATCAGTATTCAGTGTCTAACAACATTAGGTAGCAGCTTTCTGCATGAGCTAGCATGACCAGTATGACAACTTTCACCAATATCACTTCCTCTTGCTCTTGCCAAAAATAGCACATGTTTCACGTTCCCAGTGATGTGTGAACTATGCAAAAAACAACAAATCTGTTGGTGACAGACTGTACCAGCAGCTTTAAGCTATCTGTGCAGGACACTTGCACTTTTGGAACCAGTTTTCAGGACCTCTGAGCCTTGGTGTACAAATCACCTTCCACGAAGATGCTGTGACTGTCTCTTTGAACTTTAATGTTATTTCAAACCTCCAATTGCCAAAGTCTAGCTGTCTTTCAGAAAACAGTCAACTGCCAATAAATTGTTTCAACAGCAAAGTATAACTGGATCAAATACCTTTTACTGTAATTCACTTGGTTACTGTAATTATATTACAATTGTTCAACCGCTTTGTATTTACAGCTTTCACAATTTGAAAGGAAATCTTTGCTGTACACTTTTTATACCATTCTATTTTGCTTGTTCAGAGTTGAAAGAAGATGCAGACTGGGTTTTGTCACCTTTTTTTTTTTTAATGTGCCATTTATGATTTTGATTATTTTTTTCACCAATGATTGTATCCAGATAAATTGCATTGTTTTTTGTAAAATGTTTACAACAGTAAATTTGAATTCAGTAAATTTATTGATTATTATATCAGGCATGCATGCATTCATTAAACAGTTTTATAGCATACATTCAATTTTTCTGACTAATAATTCAGATTTAGTGATATATGTACATATGTTTGTTTGTACATTCATAAGTGCTGACTGAAAAAAAATCCCACTTAGGCGTAGTAATCCATATGTTGCCATTAATCAGTCCTTTATAGAAGAGTAAGAGGACAAGGCTAAACAAGGACTGTTCTGAATTAAAGCTGCTAAAAACACCATTACTGAAAGAAATCATGATGGAAAGTACTCTCTTGTCACTTGGAGTTAGGTTCATGAGATATCACAAAGGCTAAGGATGACTAGGTGGCCACTTTAAAAGTCATCTACAACTATGCTGCCATTGTAGGCTCTAAAAATATGCTGTGATCCACTGCATTACTGAATTTTGAAGTCTCTGTTCTTCATGCAAATCAAGTTACAAATAAAGCGGAAAAACCAAGAACAAATTAACTATACATTGAAGTATGTAATGAAGATTTACTCTGAAAATAAGTTACAGTTCCAGAGGGTTGAAGCAGAGGAAGCTTTAATGTAATGCATTTCAAAATAGTTCTTAAAACAATTGTGAAAATCTTTGAATTCATGTTTAGATTGTAAATGAACAAAAATATCAATGAAGTGAATATTTCTTTCCCAAGTATGTATATCTTTTCTGTCTGTACATTTATCTTGCAACATAAACTATCTCATATCTTTACACGTAATACATGAAGAATAATAGGAAAAAAATAGAAAGTATAAGATCTCCATAATGGCCAGTGCTAGAACAGAAGTTATACATCAGCAGGCCTTAGGTTGATAAAGATGTTTTTGTGCAAAAAACCCAGATTTGCTCTCAAGCTGATTAGGACTTCCCCCAACAGGTATACCTATTTTGTTTAATTAAAGCTAGCTGCAAAGTGGTATCCTGAAGCAGCATTCTCCCCCCGCATTCCTAGTTTTCTGAACTTTGCCTATTCAGTAGTGGCCAAAATTGTGGAAATCTTTTGGGAAAAATGTACAGTAGAAATGCCACCTTTGGTTAAGTTTCCACCAATTTTTCTTCTAATTTCTTTATAACTGTAGCCTTGTTCACTTAATAATACTATTTTACATCGCTTTCTGGGCAACCAGTCAACTGTTTGCACCATTACTTTAATTTTATTACATTTTACAAGCTCACTAAATGAAAGAACACAAAAACCCCCAACCAACTTGATAGTGATCACATAACACACTGACCAATGTCCTCCTCTTAGCTTCAATACATGACATCAATAACTGAATCCTACTGTGATCTGATTGGCTCATTGCCAAAACAAGATGACACCTGATTGGCTCTCTAAACACTCATGCTCATTGGCTACAATCAGATGAAGGAAAGTTACCTGATATCAATCTAAGCAAGTTGTGCTTCCTTTTTCTGGTTATTTGGCAATAACCTTTCATAGAATACAGTGCAGATAATTGAACAAACTTTGTCGCATTACATTCTTGATTAAATTATCTTTCCATTGATATATAATTTTATGGTACTCCTCCCAAAAAAAGTGTTATTAGCCATCAAACCTCAAACATACACTTTTCCCAAAAGGTTTCCACAATTTTGGCCACTACTGTATATTGGAGGCATTCTTTTAAAAAACATGAGGGGATAAGGGATGCACTCTGAATGTTTTCTTTGGAAACTTCCCTACCTTCCCAGAAAAATGAAGCAAGCTGAGGTGATCAAACAGTGGGATGGGGTAGATTTTGCAAGTGTGACCATACTTTCAAAATATTCTCATTAGCCCTCAAATGTTGGGAAACTTTGGATTGGGGTTGTTTATCCAAGCTGATTTTCAACAGTCTGAAATATAAAGCAGGATATTACTAATTTAAAGGGATTACTTAAAAGAGTCCCCTCTCCAGTTACAAAAATTCTGAGGTTTGGCTACAAATGCAGATCCCTTTGGAGAAATGTATCACCTTTTGTGACTAACAAATCATATTATGCTAAACCACCCATTCAAACGTAATCACACTGTTCTGCATTGTTCATGGATCTATATTTCACAATTATGCCTGATAGACTGCACAAGATACTTTATAAAAAGTATCTTAGTTGTAAAAGAACATTCTAATCTGTATCAAAAGTTCAGTATGTTGTAAGACATTAAATATCAGCTCACAATACTTTCTACAGCTGATATTTATTCCTGTAAATGTATCTCCAATTACTAATGGAGTAAATTAGATAATTACAGTATTTCTAATTGAGGTAAAACATTTCTCATGCTCCTTCACTGAGCTAAAATGCCCAGTAGATCAAAACTAGACAATATACATTAATTCTTCTATTCCCCAACTATATACTTGGCATTAAACACAACTTGCCGACTTCATTACTAGGTCAATGCAAGGCTTTGGTTTGGAAATTAAACTTGATTGATCCTCCAAATCAGCAACTCCATGCATGCCTTAGAAAGAAGTTCAATGTTCACATATTGCGATACATTTCCATAGCTGCTTCCAAAATACACACAATAAGCAGGCTATTTCATTTGTAGCCATTGGAACACAATGTTTGCCCGGGATGGTAGCGAAAGATTTTGCTAAATATCCAATATTTTCAGCTCAAGCAAGGGTTGTACTAGTTAAGTAGCTTTCAAAGTCTGATATATCAGACTTTCTGAGAGCAATTAGGTGAATATTTTTATAAAAAATAAAGTTTAAATAGTATACTAAGAATTTCAAAATTATTGCATGGCATCATCCTGAGATTATTTCAAGCATTATGCTTCCTTAAGCAATAATTATGATGCTTTAAGATATTTGTACAGGCCCTTTGAATGTAGCTATGTTCATATCTTCTTTGAACATTATAGTTGATTGGTTCAATTGGAAAGAAGCAGTGACAAGCCTTGTTCATTGTGAAGTCACATTAATGCCACTTAAATAAGTTCAAGTATCCGTATCACTTTGTAAAAAAATTTTTATTATATAAATATATAATTTTCTGATGAATGACAAGTTGTACAACATGCTGCCTGGGGTTATTTCCAATGTATATTAATTCAGATTTTATTTTCTATTAGGAATGTAGCTAGATCAGTCCATGAAATCATCATCTGTCCATTCATCCTAAGTAAAACAAAATCAAATTAAGCATGTTATTACAAAAGATTAAACTCCCAACTTACTCCTAAATCTTATTTATGTATTTTTTCCTGCATGAACATTAGTCACAATAAGTAGCCTATTAGAGTGAGTTAACTACACCAGCTTTGAAAAACACTCCCTTAATTTATCAAGGATCCTGATTACATATCAGGTGTATGTTTTCAATATTAAAATGCAAATTTATTCATATAAAGCAAATATGACAAGCCAATCATGAGCATTTTCAAATAAGTTACAACTATTGCAGAACTTCAATACTGTAAACATTTAAAGATGGAAGAATCTCAGTATACATAAATATGGTTCTAGCACAGTGGTTCTCAACCTGTGGGTCGGGACCCCATTTGGGGTCGATCGACCATTTCACGGGGGTCGCCAAGCAAGGCTGTCCGCCATTTTTTTTGTCCGCCATTTTTCCCCCTTTTCCGGTGGGTGCCTTACCTCCCTTGGGCTGGGCCAGCTGGTGATCAGCCTGCTCCGTCTCTGCCGCTTGCCAGCTATGCCTCGGCCGGTGCAGGGGGCAGAACCATGCATGTGCGGCGCTCCCGGGCAGGGAAAGTCCTCGACTTACGACCGGTTGGGTAGTCCTCGACTTACAACCGGTTTAGTCCTTGACGTACGACCTGTTTAGTCCTCGACTTACGACCGGTTGGGGTCGCGGCATTAAAAAGGTTGAGAACCACTGTTCTAGCATGTCCAGATGTCCAACTATGAACTACGTTTTTCCCTTAAATATTCTAATTTAGCGTTATGTGTTGAATGTAAAAATCATTTAGTTGTGTAATATGCAAATGTGAACTGGTTAACAGTTTACTGCTAGTTTTAATTGCATATTTCTGATACTTCTAGATTTTAATAATTTGGTAATATTTAGTTACCAATAATTCTGGTTTATTGGGGAAAATAAGGTATATGTTTCTTAATATCTATAGTCCCATAAGCTGCTGTGCAAGGTATCTGGAAACTGGTCCTGCCCCTTTGATTCCATGATAAATTTATTTTCTATTTCTTTATCACATTTGTATAGCCACCCATCTATTATAATGACTCTGGATGACCCACATAATAAAGAAAATACAATAAAGCCACGAAAACAATTCAAAATAAAAAGTACATAAAGAAAAAAATATGGCAGGATATATTACAGATTAGTGCTCTGAGGTGTCAGGTGGAAATTTTAGTGAATGATCCAGAGACATTTATAAATTCAACCCTTGCTTCATTTCTTATGAGACAATGAAACCAATAAAAATTGATCAGAGATTTGCTCTGAGAAGAGGAACAAAATAGCACATTACTTGTTTTAGTTTTAAAAAGTCAAATTAATTGGCATAAGAAAAAGTGATTCCTGACATGATACAGGTACCATCTAAAACAAATAGTGTTCTTTTTGTTTTAATAATACAGTTTAAATACAAATTTAATCAGGTGTCATAAAAACTACTAACCTCCTCCATTCTAGACTTTTTTGAGATGAATTCATCACCTTCATAGCCTTTTCTCTTTTTCCTATCAAAAATCCCATAGCAGAAAAATGTTAGAGGGTATGTTCCAACTATTGAATTTATTCAATCCCATTTTTATATTAAAAAGAATACAATAATTTAACTACTGTATAGAATAGAGGTCTCCAATCTCTCTGGTTTTGTGGATTGGTGGGGAGGAGGGGATATTTCCACCCAGCATTGGGTGCTCATGTGTACAGCTCCATGTATGCAAGCAGCAGCTGCATGGGCCCACCGCTCGCACAAATGGAGCTTCCCATGTGAGTGCCTGCCGCTTATGCAAATAGTTGCACACGCTCACCTGCAACTTGTGCGGCCCAGGGCTTGGGGATCCCTGCTGTAGGTTTATTCAACACCAACTGATTCTAGTTCTAACCCTATCCCGCTCCAAGAGCCTGAAGACACGGTTCTGCCTGCTGGCCTAGGGAACAAATGGGGCAGTTCCACACTGGAGGTGTGGATTGATGGCAGACTCCATCTCCTTCCCACTTGCTCTTATTCTTATTGTGTTCCTTTGTCATTGTTTATTTTATTGTTCTATTATTTTACTTCTAGTATGTTTACACTCCTTTCATTTCTCTTCCTTTTTATTATTGCAAGCAGGCTACAGTCACCCCATGGAGAGATAGGCGGCAAATAAATTTAACAAATAAATGTAGCCATTCTTAGAGGAGAAGAGGGAGTCCATCTCTCCCAAGGATTAAGGACTCTGGAAAATCCAGAGACCTGCAGGTAGGTGGCAATAAGAACAGTGACTGAGAGTAACAAAAAAAGCATAGCAGGCTTGGGACATTTCCCCTCTGCAGTTGGGGCACATCTAACATAAACCCCTTAAAACTAGGCATAAAAATTAAAATTTATCTCTGTGGTAAATGAAAAGTTTTTAGACATATACTTTTGTAAACCGGAATCAACTTCCATAAGATATATATTTTCCATTGATAGACTGTAGAAAAAGTAATGCAAAGAAGAACTCATGAAGTTGGAAAAAATAATAAATTCAATAAATCAACCTTCAGATTAATATAAATATTATTTTGCAATTTCTTTCTACTACTTTTATGAAGCCTTCAGTAATAGATCACTTTAGGCTTTTGGCATCCAACTTAGAATAAAAAAAGGGGGGGAGTATAAGAATGAGCATCCCCACCATTTCTATCTCTTGCCCCATCTACTGTTTGTTTCATTTTCTCCATCATGGAGCCTATCTTGAGAGTGTATAACCTACAGCAGAATAAAGATGACCTAAATTTAATCCAAAAGTATTCTTTGAAAATATTTTTTTTTCTATTTATATAAATAATGATTTGAACTTAATAGGGGCATTAAAAAATACCTACAAGCAGGGCTTTTTTTCTCATAGAATGCCCAGAACGGAGTTCCGGCACCTTTTTTGGATGGAACCTTGTAGGGTAGGCAAGGCGGGTTGTATGACGTGTGTGAGTTCCGGCACCTTTTTTTTTTTTTTTTTTTTAGAAAAAAAAGCACTGCCTGCAAGTAAGTTCTAAAGTTGTTAAATGAGGCAAACCAATGTTAGTTTTTACATAACACCCTACATTTTCTCTTTATCCATGTTTATTGTATAACATAAACCTATCTCTATTCAATTTTGCTGCATTAAAGTTTTTGCTAAACAACATTATAATCCACAAAACTACTTTCATCATACATTTAAGCCCTGACTGAGGAGTAAATACTGACAAACACATGGAATAACATCAATACAGACACCCTAGCCAGAAATTAGGCCATTAGAATAGAGAATGAATTTAACAAAACTTTAAATAGCTACTTACGTATTTGTATTAAGAGCAAGTTCTGAACTGTGACATTTTTCTAACTTCTGTTTTAAAACAGCAACCTCTTCAGGATGTGGTAGCTCATATTTTTTTACCAGATTTTTCATGCCTACTCAAATGCAATAAACACTTATTAAAATACTATAAAAATATGAACTATTATGTTATTTACGAAAGCCAAAAACAGATCAGAAAATTCTAAGAAAACAAATTATGGTCACAGACCAGCAAATAAAAGCATTAAAACAATAATAATAGTAAAAAATAAAAATAAAAGACAGACAGAATAATATATTGTGATTGACAGTGGACTAACAGTGGGCTGTTAAAGTTTGCCTAATTTTACATACAGCATAGCAGAATTTGGCCACATTCAGAGAAAATACTTCATACCTATCTGATAACAATAGTTACACATAAAAAAGATAGGGATTTCCCAGATATTTTATTAGGTAAGGTGTTATAAACTGAATTCATAAGTCCTTATAGATGGTGCATTATAGCAGGACATGAGCTATAGTTTCATAGTTACTCTGGTTTCTCTTCAGATTGTATAACACTTTAACTTATTTACTAAATTTAGCCATAGCAGTTCATAGTGCTTTATAGCCTTCTCTAAACGGTTTAGAGTCAGCATATTGCACCCAACAATCTGGGTCCTCATTTTACCAACTTCGGAAGGATGGAAGGTTGAGTCAACCTTCAGCCAGTCAGGATCAAACTGCTGGCAGTCAGCAGAGTTAGCTTGCAATACTGCATTCTAACCACTGCACCACCATGGCTTTATTTTAATTGAATACATCATTTATTTTCACCAATATTGAAGTA